GAGGACGAAGAAGAGGAAGAAGAAGAAGAGGAAGAAGAAGAGGAAGAAGAAGAAGAGGAAGAAGAAGACGAGGACGAAGAAGACGAGGACGAAGAAGACGACGAGGACGAAGAAGACGAGGAGGACGAAGACGACGAGGACGAAGACAAGGAGGAAGACGAAGAAGAGGAAAAGGAAGAAGAGGAAGAAGAAGAAGAAGAAGAAGAAGAAGAAGAAGAAGAAGAAGAAGAAGAAGAAGAAGAGGACGAAGAAGAAAAAGAAGAAGAAGAAGAAAAATAAGCTCTCTCTCTCTCTCTATCTCTCTCTCTCTCTCTCTCTCTCTCTCTCTCTCTCTCTCTCTCTCTCTCTCTCTCTCTCTCTCTCCCTCCCTCCCCCCTCCCCTCCCCAACTGAGTCCCTTACCTTGTCGATGGCGGCCGTTGGCGGGCGATGGCGGGGTCACGCACGATGGCGGACGTTGGCAGGTGTCGGCGGGGGTTCGTCGAAGAAGCGCGTCGAAGCTGCACGTCGAAGGCCGGCGGAGCGACACTGCTGCAGGGCAGGGAATAGCGGGGGTACAACTTGAGTATGGGGGAGGGGTGTGCTGGTAGTTCCCGCCCTTGCCGATTTGAAATCGCGGCCATCTGGGCCGTCGATCTCTGAGATTGAAGATCAAGATTGGGCCCGATTTCAAATCGGTGAAATTGGGCCTACCGACCCTTTTTTTTTTTTTTTTTTCTTTGGTGTCTACACAATCTAGGATGGGGGCAAAAAGGGCCCCAGCGCCGAAAAAAAAAACAAAAAAACTTACCTACAATGATGCGCTGGGAGCGCTCGGTGGCCAACCAGGCGCAACAACCGGCCAGGCGGCCCGTCCTGCCCTTTGGGTGACGACCAGGCTGCCGGGCGGCCCGGGGACCAGCCTAGCTTATAAGGGTATTTGGCGTGTTTTTTACAAGATACGCACGCGGCCTCACCTGACGTTGATGGCTAGGCGCGAAGAAAAGTTGAGTTAGCGCGTGGATGAGCTGTGTGCACAGATGTGTTGACGATGAGGTGCAACTCTGTGAGGCCTAGGGGTGCGCGGCATCGCAGGCCAGGGAGACGTGCGGCCCCTCGTCTCCTTACATTTTTCTTGTGTCCTCGCGTTTATCCGTATTATTATTATTACTATTATTTTTTCCCTACTTTTATCTTTTTTATTGACACCTTTGGCTCGGTGATGGGTTTCGAGGTCAACGTTAGGAACGACGGTGTCGGGACCTGTGGGTCCCGAATAACATCTCGACACTCGAGAGCCTGTATATAGCCGAGTTGTGCACAACAGAGAAATCTGGAGTAAGGAGACAAGGTAGAGAGAGAAAAGGCAAAGGACTAGGACGAGACCACCAAGAGGAGTGATGCCCTGGGCTGAGTACCGCAGGGAGAAGGAACCGGCAACGGCAAGCAAGTAAGGGACGGGACATGGGCACATAGGAACATAGCATGGGGCCGGAGGGCCATCTGAATTCGGCATGACAAGGACCCGAGGGCCCATTAACTTAGCAAGGGCAGCACGGTGGATGACAAGAGAATAAGGGAGTCGAGAGGTGGACGGCCCTGGTTGCCGCGGCACGCTAGAAGATAAGGGTCCAACACGGGGCAGGAGAAACCGGCGCACGCAAGGCTCGAGAAAAGGCAAGGGAAAGGGGCCACCTTAGGGCGGTAGACGCCAAAAGAACATGGGACACCTTGAGGAAAGGCACCAGGGACCACGTGAGACTAAGTAAAAATAATGGTATTCTGGACAAAAAGTGTCAGGGACCACCGGCGGGACAAAGTGTCTGGGACCACCGGCGGGACAAAGTGTCGGGTACCATCGGCGGGACAACGTGTCGGGGACCACCGGCAGGACAAAGTGTCGGGGGCCACCGACGGGATAAGTGGCGGGGACATGAGAAGGTCTCAAGAGAAACAGCGGAGTAGCATGAGGGGAAAACAATTAAAACAAGATGCACCGTCAAGATCGAGATTTTGACGGCCAAAAATATTGCACTAGTGGTAGCAAACAGAAAGGCTAAAAGGAAAGGAAAAAGTAAAGAAACATGAAGAGGGAGGCATGGGAGCAATCCAAAACATCTCGGACCAGCCTCCTTCAAGAAAATGAAGTCAAAAGAGACTTCATGTCAAAAATAGGTCTCCGATAAAAAATCGAAGTAGGAGGGGTTACTGTGTGTGAGAGATGGAGGTAAAAAGAAGTTCCCACGGACATGAGGAAGCCATTACTGCAGTCCGAGATATAACGGACTACACCATGGGCATAGGGAGGGTCAAAAGTAAGAGGAAGGACCTAGAAAAGGGCCTTAACGACCATTTGACACTTGGCATGCTAGAAAAAGAAAGAAAAGAAAAGAAAAATATGAGAGAATAAAACAAAAAAAGTGAGAGGGAGTGAGTGAGTTGGCCGTCAGTAGGGACTGCCACAAGTAGGGACTCGCAGGTCCCTATTGTCTAAGAAAGAAGGAAAAATAAAAGAGAAAAAAAGAGAAGAAAAGAAAAGAGAAAAAGGCCTTAACGGTCAAAAATAGCCACTTGGGGAGATGCATCCATGACCAGATACATTTTGGAATATGGCGGTTGCAAAAAGCAGTGATTTTCTCTTGATTTTGCATAGAAAATCAAGGAAAATCAAGGCCCCATACAACCGAGATACAACGGATTGCATGGGGGAAGAAAAACACATGTTTTAGGTGCATCCGAAACCAATATTGAGTCCGGATGCACTTGAAAGTTGGTCGTTTTTTTTTTCTTCAGTTTTGGGCTAGTTGTGGGGCAATGGGGCTAGGAAATTAACCCCCATTGCAGTCCGAGTTACAAAGGACTGCATATGGAAAAGAAAACACATGTTTTAGGTGCATCCGAAACCAATATTGAGCCCGGATGCACTTGAAAATTGAGCGCTTCATTTTCTTTCAGTTTGGGGCAAGTTGTGGGGCTATGGGACTACGAAAATGGCCACAGTTGCAGTCCGGGAAATAACGGGGTGCATAAGGATGCCTAGGCCAAGGGAAAAATGAGCCATGACAAACCCAAAGGGCTAGAAAATAGTGATTTCGGCATGAGGCAAATATAAACGGTAAACGACAACCGTGAAATGAGATATTGCGGTCAAGAATAATCGGCACACATGGGGCACTTGAGAAGGAGATATTGAAACTTACAAAGGCAAGGAGGTCCCCAAATAAAAATGGGACGACGTTTGGAACGATGTCGGGGACTAAATGAGCCCAAATAAAGTTAGTCGAAAAATGGGACATGCGCCGGCAGGACTAGCGGCGAGACAACAAAAATGGAACTAGTACGGGGAGAGTCGCGGAGACTTGAGTTGTCCCAAGGTAACCATGAGCCAGCATAAGGGATGAACGAACAAAGCAAGCGGCACCGTCAAGATCAAAATCTAGGCGGTGGAAAATATTAGCACCATTAGTGCAAGCACTAGTGGGATCAAGTGGGAGAGCCATAAGAGAAAAGAAGGCAAAATAATGATGGTGGAAGGGCTGCCCAGCAGTCCGTGGTATCTCGAACTAGCTAAGCATGGAAAAATAGAGCCTCAAGGAGTTCAACATGGGAAAAAGGCTATCAAAAAAAAATCGGAACAAAGAAGGCTCAAAATTGAGACTGATAGAGGCAAAATGAAGCCCCTTAGGAGCACGGGGGTGCCATTATTGCAATCCGAGATAAAACAGTTAACTGCTGAGTGTGGATCTGGCCATGGATGAGGATCCATGGCCTAGGAAAAGACTCAACAACTACTTGACACTTGTCATATCAGAAATAAAAGAAAAAAAAAAGAAAAATGAGAAAAAATAGAGGAGGAATGAGACAAAGAGGGAGAAAAGAGTGGAGGAAAATGTGCCGGCCTATTGGGACCGGAACAGTAGGGACTGGCACAGTAGGGACTGGCAGGTCCCTACTGTGACCTCATCCCTCCACAATTAGCGGAGGACAATCCGGATTGCAGAGATATAGCCCTTGGGGCATTATCTCTACAATATCTGAATTAAAAAAAGACAAAATTAAGAGAAAATGCAAAAAGGAAATGACCGATTTTCTTTTGGGCCCTGAATTCGAGATTGAGATCCATGGAGGAGGGAATATGGTCGTTTTTAATGAGGCCTACCCAAACGGCCAACTCCGGAATGAGTTGGCAGCCCAAAATGGAAAGAAACAAAAGAAAAAAAAAAAGACAAAATTGTGCATTTAGCCTAAAAAGAAGGCAAGATGCAAAAAAAATTGAAAAAGTGAACCTAGGGGCTCCAATTTGAAGCAAGGACTACATGGGGGTAGCACGGAATATTGTGGGCCTTGGATCTCGGCCAGATCCAAGGATGAAAGGGCACCGAGGCATGGGTAAATACCTTGGCCTACCAAGAATGTGGCAAAAACTGAAAAAAACGAAAAAAAGGCTCTCTAGGTTTTTTTCTTTCAATTGAGGCTGCCCCTTGGGCATTTCGACTCAAGGGGATAGCATTTTGGGAGTGAAAAAGAGGCTGGAGGAGGCCAAGAGGCAATCCGAGTTGGTACCAACCACTCAAACTACATGTACTTGGCCAAAATACAACCCAGGTACCCTCGGAAGGGTTTAGTGGTAAATTTTTGGCTTCGGGGTACCTCGGTTCACCTCAAGGCACATGGGGAGGCCCATGGGCTGGCCGGAGTGTTGGTTTCAGCCTACATAAGCTGAGAATTCAGTCCGCCACACTCACATTTGCATGAGGTGTGCCCACGCTGCCCAAGTGAGCTCATAGGAGCACTTCTCTCACTTGGAGTGAGGAGAGGGGAACCCCTGCCAGTTGGAGAGCTTAGAGGAGACTGTGAGTTAGTGCGAGGAGCTCTAGAGGCTAGTGGTAGTGAGGCTGGCCTAGGAGGGTGGTCCTCTATAGCCCCCAGGCTGTGGGGAAGAAGGCAAGGCTAGAGAGAGTCTCATTAGCCCTCCTAGAGGGGAGGACTCCATAGCCATAGTGATAGGAGCTTGGCGGAACTTGAGGGAGACTGAGAAGGGGAAGTGAGAAGGGCTTGAGGAAGAAGGAAGTCATAGCCAAGCGAGGAGGAGCATCTCCAAGACTAGTACATCAACTGCAAGACCCAAAAGGAGGTGAGTGGAGAAAACGATAAATTTCCTCTTCTTCTTCTTCTTCTTCTCCTTCTTTTTCTTCTTCTTCTTCTTCCTCTTCTTCCTCTTCTTCCTATTTTTTTTTTATTTTTATTTTTTTTTCCTTCTTCTTCTGCTTCTTCTTCTTTTTTTTCTTCTTTTTCTCCTTCCTCCTCTTCTTTTTCTTCTCCTCCTTTTTCTTCTCTCATCCTTCCATGTTTCAAACATCTACACTTTCTCTTATCTTCTCTCTCTCCATAGATGCCTTCCAAAGATTAATACAAATAGTACAGGGCGGCTTCTCCACTAGTAATGGACTCCCCATTGTCCATTTCTTCACTTTAGAATAAATCACTCACTTTCTCTCCATGTTTTGCTTCATTCTTCACTTAGGTGTAA